TCTCTCTCTCTCTCTCTCTCTCTCTCTCTCTCTCTCTCTCTCTCTCTCTGCTGTTAATCGTCTCGTCGAAATTTTTCCCAACACAAACTCACCACTAAATCCTTCCCCAAATGAAACGGAGAATCCAGATTCATAGCAGTCAAACGTATGACAAGTGGATGAACCAAGTAAGCGCAATAGGTCACTCTGCTGAATGGATACAGTAGCGGCTCCGATAGTATCTTATTTACATATCCTGAAAGAAGCATTTGGGTTGTTGTTTTGCCACGAGTTTTATAGCGATTTAACGTCGTGTAGAATCTCTCTCTCTCTCTCTCTCTCTCTCTCACTCACCTCCGTAACCGGTACTGCACGCTATTACGATCCACGACAAACCTAATGCCCACGCGCTATGACTTAACGAGGAGTAAGCAGCGGCTGTGGCTGGTGTAAGTTCCGCCTCGTACAGACCGTAGAGCAAACTCAGGAGACACGCGCAGGACAGAAGCCAGCCCACAACGACGGTAGTCTAGAAATAACGACGTTACAAGTTGCTGTTTTACGAAATTCTTCGTACTTTAAAGAACCACCTGCCAGACAATGCGAATGTACGAAAGACATCTTTGAAGTTTTTGACCCTCAGCAGTCGTACCTTAGACATTTTCACTTTGCAATCGATCTTAAAGAGAAAGTAGCCAACGGACATTCCAATCAGGTAAGGGCCCAGCCTTGTCCACGGCTTGTCGTAGATCTTGTCGAAGAGAGCCAGCGGATCGTCTGAACTCGGCATGTGATTGTTGACTAAGGCGATATAGCCGGTGGTTGCCCATGAGCTCACCAATAGACTGACCAATGCGAAAGCCGCGATCTTGAAATGATTCGTAGCGAGCACCAATATGACGCCACCCACAATGTAAAACTGCGTGTCGTCCGCCACGTACCAACTCCAAAGCATGCACTACAACATCGGCATAAGTTTGCATCTTTGTCCATTCTAATTCTTCCTATCGATTAGACGAGACTTACCATTTGCTCAACGGGGAACCAAGTGTTGATATAGAGTAAATTTCTCCACCAATAATTGGGGCAATTGTAGTGATCCGCCGTGGGAGGCTCGAAGATAGAGTTTGCATGGAAGTACTTCATCGAGACCTCGACCACGCCTAACACAAACATGTACGGCGCGGTGAGTCTGCTGAATCTATACAGAAGGAGCCCGATGAACTTGAGGGTGCCTGCGACGAAGCCGCGCGTGCCTTGCGTGAGCCTCTTCAGATCTCCCTTGGCGTTGGTACGGAAATACAGGAAGCTCACGAGCAAGCCGCCCATGAAGAAGAAGGTGTCGACGCTGAACGCACCGTTCGTGATGGTCTGGAAGAGGAACCTCTTCTCCACCACCCTGCGGTATTCCATGTTGTCCGAGTACTTGAAGACGACTATGCATGTGTGCCCGAGTATCACCCAGGCCATCGAAATCGCCCTAAGCCCGTGTATCGTGCTAATAGTGTCTCCGCCCACATTACGATCGCAGATGGTCCTTACGTTAGCTCGAACGGAGAACGAGAGTAGGAGCTCTTGGCAAACATCTGCGGAAGTGAATTTGATCGCATATCCGAGAATCTATTATTTTTTTCCTTCTTTTTTTTAACAAAATGATATATATGATATACTTAGCGAAGGCACACAAAAATTCGACATACTGAGTTGATGTTCTTCCACAGTGGACGACTGCAAGCCACTCTCGTGGTCGTTGTTATTATTAATCGGCTGCACACCGTTGATGCTAGGGTCTGCCACTGGAACAGGAAGGTAGACCGTACCTTGAAAAGCTACGGAATATAATAACGAATCACTACGTCTGATACCGTCTTCGTCTTGTAAGAGTCTGTGGAGTGGTGGTCGTTCTGCGTTTTATCCGCTGTGTTCTCGCTATTCCGATTGTATCTCGCAATTGCAACATCCTTTATACAAACTTACAGGATCCCGCACAACACGCAAGTCTTAAAAACGTCCTATTTTGTTTTCAATGTCTTTTGGGCGTCTTTCAGACATGCATGTTGTGTGAGATTAGTATATACACTGCCCGATACAACGAGCCATTTTATTTGCAAAGTAACCATAGCGTCTTTTATAGATTATTTTTCGATTTTTTGACAATTCTTTGTTGAGGTTGCCTCAGATTCACGACATTTTCTCTTTAAATTCACTTGTGAGAAGTTTACTGAGTTTGGAGCTTAAAATACGCCATCCGGTCGCCAATCGATATTTGACACTCAATGTTGAAATAATCGATAATCGATGTTGCCTCTAAGAGAAAATCGATTATCTATTCAAAAAATGGAGTCCTCTGCACTGGCTTGACATATCAGTGTATGTACCGTTTCGAAGAGTGATTATAAGTGAAAAGCTCTCGAATGCGGGAACACGGTGAGTCCGTTTACCATTTAGCGTTTTCTGGTTGCCGTTGGCGAGTTGATCGAGTTTTCCATGCTTCTCCAGGTCGTAGATCACGTTATTCCTGTGGAACTTCCTCGATAGGTAGTAGTCGTATCCCGTGCCGAAGATCATCAGTACCAGTACCACCGCGCTGACGCCACTGAAATACATTGACCTTTAGCTATCGTCGAACACGCTCGACGACGGTCAACCGATCTCTTCCGCAAACTTACAAGAGGATCCAAAAGACCGGGTCGGCGTACATGTCGTATAGGTTATGCTGGTCCCGGACTCTCTCAATCGTCGAGTGTCTCACGACGAAATCGCTCGCGGCCAGCTTGCTGATCACGGCGAAGTCGGAAGCGGTGCACGAGAACGGCAGACAGACACCTAGATGGATCACTCTTGTCTGAGGAGAGGAAAGTAACGTTGTGAAACAGCGCGAAAGATGGTATGTAAATTATGCTAATTACCGGTGCTGTACTCACTGAAGTGTATCGTGATGCGTTCAGAGAAAGTCGCATCATATAGAAACCTAGACGATAAGGCGGTCTGTCGTCAAAGGACAAGGTTTCCAATAAACCGCTGCCGCTGCCGCCCGTGTTGACCTTTTTGCGCGGCTCTGCGTTGAATTCACGCAGCTCCTCGATCGACGAGTCGAGCGGCAGCGTATCCGGATTCTTCCTGAAGTACTCTTGTCCAATGTAGTCACACTCGGTGGCTGAGCCCGTGAAGTACGAATTGCCCCAGAAGAAGCCATTGGTGTATCTACCCGACGCATCGTCCGCTGATGAAATCAAGACACAATCATTATTGTATGATACATCTTTGATCTAGCATTAATGTTGCGAGCAACGCTCGCTCAAGCTATGATCGTTGCTGTGATTCTTTCAGTGCACTAAAATACTTGAAAATTTATCTGTAGGATTTAAAGTTTATTCACATATAAATAAACTTTATTTCTCATAGAAATGAACTGTTATATCCCACAAATAAATTTCACAAATTCTGTGTGTGAATAATTTTATATCTCACAGATAAATTTTCGCTGAGAGAAAATACTTGGAAATTTATTTGCGAGATATAAAGTTTATTTCTTTACACACAGGGAAATTTTCTCATTTAAAGAAATTAATTTTTTTGTCAGTGTATACTTGTTGCGTCCGTCACATCACAGTTCGTCTCTTTTGGAAGATGAAAACGCGCTCCGAGAAACACTTTCATCGAAGAGCCACCGCGACGATCGAGCCGGAAGCAGTTGGCGTGAATGCGGCGAAAGTATTTCTATTCAAAGTAGGTCGACGACTCTAACTCGCGAGAAAGTGAGAACGAGGATCGGCTGCCCTCGGCAATCGCGAGAGCGACGTTGTCTTAGAGATTTTTAACATTTGGAACTGGTTCCACCTCGTAGCGATATACTCCTCTCTAATCGGGTCTTTGCTTCTCAATCGTTGTTTTCATTTCTATATTGAGAGATACATAAGAAAGAATACAGTCATTTCTCCAACTCGCGTGTGTGATATTGGCACATAACTAGATTAAAAGATTCTCTTCGTCTCGTTTCTCTGAGATTGACTGAGATCTCCTGAAGTGTTTTTCCATGCTTCGCGTGATAGGTCTCAAACTTCCGCCGATACACGGTGTTCTAGATTTGTTAATTTACAGCAACTTGTCTTACCGCGATAGGAAATTAGATCCTTAGGATAATTACTTGCTTTGTGTGCGAGTGGGCGCGGTATGACGCGGGACTCTTTTCACCTGCGCCACCGAGAAGTTAACTTACGGCGCAGGCTATTATCTAACATGCAATTAGTGATCTACGATTAAATGTCGAGATGCGGTGATATCCGCTTGATTAAATAACCATGTAATTGCCGTGCACGCACTCGGCAGAACATTCGGTAGAACACGCGAGCCGTATTTTTCGCATGGATGAAGTAACGCGCGAGGTATTCTCGTTATCGCGGCTCTAACGTAACACTGATACCGTTTTAGGTGGCCAAACGTCGTCGGCGAGACATCGGGCTGCCGCCGATGCGAAGTGAGACTTTCTATTCGGGAAGTAAAAGATATTATCTAATCGCCAGCATGACGGAGGATTTACGAGGCTGCGTTATACGGACTGTAGCTCAATCGCGAACTCGTTACATCACTTGCGGCTGCATACTTACGGGTTACGACGTCATGTTTCGGACGGCACTCCGTCTTGCTTTCGGGATGAGAAAAGTTTCATTTTATTTCTGATGTCGCAAGGGGCTCTTCGCGACCGTACGCTTTGGTTTCACATCTCACCGCGATCTCAAGAACGCAAAGCATTCAATATTCCGCTTACAGTCAAATGCATCAGGACCTTCATGCTGTCCTTCTTTCTGGAAGAGACGCCGAGTAAAAGTCGACTTCCTTGATCGCGCCGTTGAGATTCGTCCACCTTACGCGTTTTTTTCTTTTTTTTTGCGCATTTGATGCCATGATACGCGCAAATAACATCATTATTCATCTTTTTGCGATCTTTGCGACTGATTGTTGCATGATTAAGGAGACATGGTCGCAAAATCCAAAGGCGGAGCCTACAATTTTTATCGAATTCCTTTGCTTCGTGAAGTTGTTGTATCATAGGCTTGTCAATCATACAACTATAAATGTAAAAGCTACATCAATACGGTCGTACAAGAGATAGTTATGTTAAACATGCGGCGATTATATAATCACAATAGCTGTTAGCGGCATAAAGTCATAGAAGTGAGGTGCGGCGTGATGCATAATACACGCAAGGAGAGAAATCTAAAATGTTTTTACAGGCCTACTATCATTTGTGATAGGTGGTATGTGATTAGAAGAAAATTTATATTACATCTATCGCGATTTTTAATGAATACGTGGAGAGAATATAATTTCTTTTTTTCATGTAAATTCTTTTCAATTTTCCTATGTTTCTAGTAGCGCATGAATAAACTGTCAGTAAGATTTGAGACATTCTCTAAGAAATTTGCTAGCGAATTTCTTTAGAAGCACAGCAAACTTTTTGATAGCACATTTCAATTCCTAAAATATGTATAAGCAGCGCACATGAAAGGATAATCTCACAGTTAATATAGAATGTTGACTTGTTCGTCGGTTACAAATTTCTTTCTGTAAAGTTTTTCCGTGTAAAAATAGTATTGAACAGGCCGATAAAAGTCGACGTGATCGAAAAGATTCGATGTCGACACGCAATTCCGAAAGTCGCCGTTTGCTGACCTATGCGCGACATGCGCGGGATAGTCGTTGAATAAGAATGACAATGAATTTTGAGTCGTGAGTCAGTTACATCGCGGTACTCCAAAGTCAAGTTCAGACTCGTCACGTAATTTCGTTTCCGCACAAAAATGTAAATGCGCGATGCAACGATTCTGTTCGAGTTCAATTTTGCATTTTGTGCACGCCATACAAAGTGGTGCTATTTACTTGGCTTCGTACCGTACGTTAAAAATATGCACATAGTAATTCGCTTTTTACGATTTCCAAGTTGAATGCCGATGTTGTTTGTTTATTATTTACGCGGGAATAGATTCGCTCCGCTTGTGAGAAAAAATAAGGTGTAACGGATGAATTTCTTCAGATTTCTGAACGAATGTTGCAAATTATGTGTAACCGGTTTGAAAGGATCGCATCCACTGTTCTCGTTAATACGTTCATTGTCGAGGTTCTTGCGCCGACTAAAGTTCATGGACTGTGATTGCACCATTGCATTATTCCTTAACTTGAAGTGTTATGGTTTTGAATCGAGATGATTTTCTCTTAACAGCATGTGGAAACGTGTAATTACAAATCTCGCGAGGTCCTGACTAGTTAAAGAATATTTTAGATAATATTAATCATGATTCTGGAAGAAAAAATGATCCAACTCACAAAATTATGATTATACCAATGGGTAGCCCGTACGTCTCTCTACATAAAACAGATTCAATACAAAGAAACCGAAGTCAGTGAGTGCCTAAAATTAATAGAAAACAATTTTTATTTTTTACTAGTTGCGTCTTTTTTACCCATTTTTTAAGGATTAAGCTTGTCATTGAATACTCTTAAAGAGAAGAAAATTGACTACGCTTGAACTTCTTGAACGAGAACCTTAGTTTTATCTATATTTTTTAAGTCATGTATCAAACTTTCAGTTTCATCTTTCACGAAACGTACTTCATTAAATTTTCCAGTTAAGTCAATTGGGTCAGTCTTGCATAACTACGGCCGTATGTACACGGTTGTTACATTCAATTTTTGAGATACAAGTTCTTACAACACATATGTTGTCCACATATATGTGAGTTTACTCCAATTATATTTTGCCAAGAGTTTCTCTCGTTAATTATTCAATTCAGTAATTTATTGCCGAGGTTACGACGGATTTTATTTGGACATCTGGGAAAAAAGTTCAATCAGGAAATATATCGCGTTTGTACCGACGGCATTGAAGGCTGAAAAAGAAAGTGTTCCCGCGAAGAAGGTAATGCGAAATACCCGTCGCGCGTCTTATGCAGCCTTGTTCCCTTAAAAGAAATCGACTCGAATGCGTAGAATGTTTCGCTTCGTGCGCGTTCCGTCATATTGACGACTGACAATCGAATGGATGAGAAAATTGTTCAATTCTCAACAGAGAAAGTATTTGCTCGCTCCGAGAATTTTACATTAAAAATTACTATTTTGTAACCGAGGAATAGATCAATATTCTGCAGTCTTTATCCCTTTACTTCATATGTGCTAGTTTAAGAACTGAAAGGGGTGCTATTAAAAAAATATTTCTAACAAAATTTATTCCGTTTCTTAGCAAGATAACTCTTGCTGACTGTCTATTCCTGTTAGAGGCATAGTAAAGTTGAAAAGATTGCAAATTTGTTAATATTAAAATTAATGAAATTATATGAATTTATATGAATTTATTAATTAAAATAATTTGAAAATATATGAATTTATTGATATTAAAATTGGAAAAAGAGAATTTATATAGAAAAGGACAATTTTCTCCACTATAGCGCCACTATGGTGCCACTGGTACTGATTTCGTTCAATTTGATGAGACGCAGCTAGTTTTACGCTTCGTAGCATATCTTTAGTCATAACAAAATTATCAACTATTGTTGCATGTCGATTTATATAGCGTATCGGAGAAAGTGACTCGGAAAGAGAAAGGCGTACTCAATCGAAGTTAATGTTGCAATACTATAATGTCCCTCTGGCATTGACTTGCTTTCTTATATTAAGTAAGGTCGATTTGAAGTGAATGTTATCTATGAATATTATCTACGAATATGTGCGCAAACACTTAAAGTCTCTTTTCTCAGCTGATATACTAATGAGAACCATTCGATTGAATTTTATAATGTTTACGGGAGTGTATATTCGCGTTAAAATTCATCCGTGACATTTTAATCTGGTCTTCTCATTACTTTCGATACAGAGGTATATTTTGCTCTAAGAAACGCAATATATTATCGGTCGGTGAATTTATGGATGTTTTAATTATGTCTACAGCGGTTTGCCTTCATTCTAAACTTCAAACAAAATCGCTTTCATCTACAGAAACATCGCCTTGATTTATGCGCTATACGTCCTTCACAAGTGAAGAAGCGCATCTTTAATAAAGTTGACAGATCTCTTCGACGGACAATATTCTTCCTTCGCGATTGTTGCTCATAACGGCGACGTTGGCATCTTTTAAAATGCATCGATTTAAAAGATCTCAATAAAAAAAATACTATTGAGATAGCTTGAAAAAAACGCGTCTTGACGCGTATCGACTTCAAGTATTTAAGG